GCATTTTCCTTTTCTTGTGCCTATATTTCTAATTTTGTTTCTTTTTTAAAAATATTATATTGTATTTTATTTATTTTTTGATGATGTGAAGTGCATAGAAGCTTTTTCTTGCATAATGCGCTATACAAGTTTAACATTATTATTATCATTATTATTATTATTATTATTATTATTATTATTATTATTATTATTAATATACAATGGCGTATCTAGAAGTTTTGAAATTGGGGTTGGGGAGGGTGAGGTTAAAGGTCGCAAAATATGTAAAATAAGGAAATATGAGGTGTTTTTTTGAGTGCGAGTTTCAATATGGTGGTGTTACTGGGGGTGGCGGAATTTTTGGGGGCACGTGGACCCTCTTGATAGGCCACAAATTATATCATATATAAACTAACCAATTTTAATTAAAAGAACTTCAGTGTGTTAGTTTCCTGAATTACTTCATACAGTCACAATTGGTTTTCTGCGTGCCAGCATTTGTGGGGCATGCATTCATTCTTGTAATGATAAATGGAAAATCTGACAAAAATTTATAATGATAAAAAAAACACTAGGCATGTCAATTTCAAAGAAGCTGACACCGGTAGCATATAAGTGCGACGTCCTGTTCACATGTTAATACAGGAGGATAGACAAGAAGGTATAAATAGAAATAACAGGAAGTATTTAGCTTGAAAGTGATCATCGAAGTACTGTTTACGCTACAACAGTGGACAAGAGTTCTATAATGTAAGACTATTTCACTATTTTCTACACAAAACAACCCCCAAAAACATTAAGTTTGGATTCAAGATGTTCCACAGTATTGCAATCATATGCTTGGCAATGGTTTTTCCTGGTCAGAGCACTCCATCATTTGGTTATGTCTCCATTGGACCTGCTTCAGTTTGGGAAGGAACAGCGGTTGGTCTTTTTTGTGAAGTAAATAATTTGACTGATGACTACTCAATCTCCTGGTACAGAAATACAATTACAGGTGAAAGAACAGTTATTTACAAGGATGGCACGCTGATAAATAACGACCTAGGAAGAGAGGCAGAAGCTTACAATAACAGCAGTGTGTTTGATATGGTAATAAAACAGGTAAAAGGTCGTAATCTTGGTCATCTGCTTAATGGTAACAATTACACCTGTGAAGTAGCAATTAACAGTACAGGTGAGGCAGTGCTGGTATCAAGTGGTGTCATCCTAACATCTGACTATTCTCCTTCATTTCTGTATCCAATCTGTGAAGCTTATGACTTTTCATCTGATTCTATTGGCTCAAATGTAACTATTTCTTGTTTCTCTGAACCTGGTAATCCGATTTATGATTTACGATGGTCAAGAAATGGACATTTCATTGAAAACTTACACACAATTAAGAAGCATTCTCTTATATACTTAATGTATACATTCATACTTAAAGCAAAAGATTTAGAAAGTACTTATTCTTGTACAAATTTTGTACAAAGTTGCAATTTCACACCTGATTCTGACAAACCATTTGTGGAAGAAAGTTTCTCAACGATGCTTCTTGGCACCGATACATCACGATCTCCTGGTACTGCTATTGTCCCAACAAATGAAACATCTGGAGATTCAGGGACGCAGACTTTAAATATAACAACTGTGATTGGTGCTAGTGTTGGAGCGGTTCTATTCTTAGTGTTCTGCCTTGTAACGGGTGTCTTTTTATACAGGAGAAGACATGAAAAACAAAGACCAACTACGACATTTCAGAAACAATTTACAAAAGAATTTACAATTGGTACATCAAATAATGTAGGCTTATATGAAGATACAGAGCTACAAAAACAGGAATCTCAAGATGTGCCTCAATCTAATACTAAATGTTTGAATGAAGATATCACCAACAATCCTGATGAACATGTGATTATTGAAAACTCAATTTATGTTGGATGTAATAGTGATTAAGATGTTGAAACTGTCAAACCACAGTACAGAGATGTAATAAGACTCTAATACAGTACAGCCGTTCCTGAATAAACAGAGTGGTTTGATCTTGCTCAATAATTAAATTTTATTTTATTTGCTAATACTATCAAAGACAAATATATTAAGTTATGATACTGTACTATTAGTCCTGGGCTAAGAACACCCAACACACCCTGCGCCCCCTGCTTTTTATATTTCTGACGATTTAGCAAGCGTATTCCGACGTATGAAAAAATTGGCGAATGCGCTGCGTACGTAGAATAAGTTAGAATAGGCCTAAGTTATGGGTAAGTTTTGTATTAAGTTAAGAGCACTGAAGTACGACTGGTATATTTTGTAGTACGCGATGTCGTCGTGCGAAATCGTGTGTGCATGCACAACATTTTTCGACGTATGACTCGTCGTTATGCGATCGTTGACACGTTCGCACGTAACGTGTAAGTTACTCAAAGTCGATATACGTCGAGATGTATAGCGTACACAAAACTTATTTCTAACCTGTGAGTAACATGCTTCGAACCTATGTGTAACTTATATCGAACGTATATTGACGTATGTAGACGTATTTGATGTGTTACAGCTACCGTATAATGGGGTTTATAGGCATATAAGCAGATATAAGTTAATAACACGTTATGTATTATAATCCAACTTGTTACGCTATAGTTATGCCAGCGTTTTGGAGACATTTTTATACGCCAGCATACACTGGCTAAATCGTCAAGGTGTGACAGGGCCATAGGTAGAACAAACTTAGAATAACTTATTGGTTCTAATATAATCTATATGTTAATTCCATGATAGAGTTTCATCAATCTTTACACCTAAATATTTACAACGAGGAATTAACTCTTTGAATATTATAACCGACCATATTACAAGTCAAGGTTTGATAACGGAGACAATTTTTGATGTGTACCAATAGGCCTATATTTCCATATTTCCCTCTTATCTAAGTTTAAATCTATAACCGCACTAGGTAACCAATTTTTTACATTTTCAAGGTCAAAACTGATTATTATTATTATTTTTTTAAATAGCTATAATGACATCGTAGAGAGCGTTATCAGCTACATCATCTCACTGTTATGCTTAACAATATATATTAGGAATCATTGACATATAACAATAAAGCTAAACCTAATATAGGCCTAAGCTTTGGCATTGCTTTGAAGACACCGTTACATTGGTGGTGTAAATACGTCTAGATAGGTAGCTTTTGAACCAGGCTATACATGTTTGTTTATGTAAACATTATTAAATTTACATTTGAACACTTGGCCAATCCAGCACTTTTCTATTTTTTGGGAAAATATGGCGTAACTAGGTTCTGAGGACCGTCGGGCCCTTGGGGAATGACCCTAAATGAAGAAGCACAAATGTGCATAAAAGTTTGAGCATATTTGCCAGTTTGCTTTTGTAATGTGTGCGCTATCAATAGTTTCATTGTCAGTAATATAATATCAAAAGGTTTGTACTTCCGATATGACAAATTTAAAGTTTTAGTTTCGTTTAGATCAATGTGTTTGGCTTTCAGAAACTCTGCTTCCTCCACAGTCCACCTATACCCTAGTCTGTAACTATACTCATTTTACATGCGTTATGTAAGCCTATATTTTGTATATATTGTATTTTAAATCATTTCTTTAAATTAATATTGCTTATTTGTTTTATAATGTATTTCAGAGCAAGGTAATTCAACAGAAGGACGCACATCTCCGCTCTCGAACATAGCGCGTGCGTACAGTCCTTTGATCTTTACTGTGGCATCGACAATCCGGTACTAGTTGCGAGTACAGCCGTCAATTATTATTATTATTATTTTCCTTCTGTCTTCTTCCATGCACAGCACATGTCCATTCCAATGATGTTGGGTGAGGCAATCACATAGGTTTCCTTGCTTCCATGGGATTCCTGCTGTAATAACATCTGCTGAAAGCATCAGCTAAATCCCGCTCAGACCTTTTGTCGTACATCTATAGACCTGTCACCGATGCCCGTATACCTAAAGTATTTGATCACAGCCCCCTCATCAAATCTCTTGGTAACTCAATCAAGAACGATTACAAGATTCTTCAGAAAGACCCTAATATATCTGATCTCTACCTTCATCCTCCTATTCTAGCTCAACGTTAACCCCCCCCCCCCCGCCAATCT